ATACATAATATACACATGTACACATACACAGGTTTGCATTTCTATCCTTATTAGGACTATGTAATGACTTCCATTAATTTTCTTTTTTTTCTGTAGCCTACCCCTGATCCTTACACTAAACATTACCACTACTGCTGTAGCAATATGAAGGATGTAAGATGGAGGAAGAAGGGTGACACTTTCTCCCCTCCCCTCCCCTCCACTACATTTATTTTATTTAAGTAACTCTCGTTAAAGTGGGGCACCAACTGGTCAGTTTACTGACCAACAACAACTTAAGTAATATATTCACCCTTTAATAATCAGAACTCAGTCACTGAAGTAGAATCTGTTAATTACAGGGAGTGCTATACCATAATACATGAATATTCATCCAGATGAGGAGACCAAAGTTATCTTTGAAATTTTATTACAAAAATAATCAAACTAAAAATCAACAACAATAATAAACAAACAATAATAATATCCTGATGCATGCTCAATAATCCAGGTAGAAAAATCCAAAAAAGTTCATTCTGGGGACATGGAACTGGACTGAGGAAGTCTTTCGGATGAGAGACAAAACGTATCTACATTTTTTTGCTTTGTTTTGTTTTTTGGTTTTTTTTGGAATGTCCAGAGGACCAGATTGAACTTTTTTGGAAACAATAATAATGAATAAATCAAGGCTTAATTCTCTTATTTAAGGCCAACTTGACTCTTTAAGCAGGAATTATTTCAGTTTTATATGCGCATGAATTCAGACAAAGTTTGACTGTTTTAATAAATAGTTTAATTTGGATTTTGGTTGAAAGAAGTTATTTAATCTGATCAGATAAAGTCATTTATCGTCACTGCAAGCCAGGAAATGCTTTACCAAGTTGCATCAGCTTAAAATAGCATAACCAGACCAAGAGTTGCATCATGTCAATAGACTTTAGTCAGACTGTAGCTGACTCTGTATCCAAGGATACAGTGTGGAAAAACATCAGACATTATTGAAGTCAAATGTGACTTTGAAAAACACGATTCATGGTGAGTCTGGAAGATGAATAAGGGTCAGTGGTCATAGTTAGAGCCGTGCAGCTTCATGCTACACTGCTATAGTACATAAAGTATCTAATCCTAACCTGAACCTAAACTCAATTTAGAATCTAAACCTAACCTCCATTCCAAACATGACATTCTGCTGTATACAATTGAGCTTCGGTCCCTAAAAAGATTACATACACACAGTAGAACTATTGTAAAATCTGTTGTGACTAAAATACTTGTCATTGTCAGTTTATCCATTATGTACATTTAAACCCACATAAGGTGGATCAAAGCATTTGCAATAAACGATACAAACCAAAAATAATAAAAATATACATTTATGTAAAACAAAAAAGCAAGGACAAAATAAACAAAAGGGAATATCCATCCATCCATCCTTTGTCTTTTACCCGCTTCTTCCATTTTGGGTCATGGCGGTCGCCAGTGCTCATGTCCAACAATCACTGTGCGAGAGGCGGGGGACACCCTGGACAGGTCTCCAGTCCATCACAGGGACACATAGAGACAAACGAGACAAACAACCATTCACAATCTCACTCACACCTAGGGACAATTTAGGGTCACCAATCAGTCTAACATGCATGTTTTTGGTCTGTGGGAGGAAATTGGAGTACCTGGAGAAAACCCACACATGCACGGAGAGAACATGCATACTCCACCCAGAAAGGCCCCTGGACCGGGGTTTGAACCAAGGACCTGCTCGCTGAGAGGCAGCAACTCTACCAGTTGCGCCACCGTGCTGCCCCACATCAAACATTTCACTCGTTTTTTTTTGTTTTTTTTTTTTTACTGTAAGCTTATTCATTATGTCTGAAATGTTATGCACTGTAATGTATGCAGGAGTTCCGACACAGCAGTTGTGCGCGCGTCCTGCAGAGCTGTGTGGAGACGCTGTGCGTAAAACAACTGTCTCAGGGCGCACAGCTGAAGGAGGATGAAGACGCTCCCCGCAGGACATGCAGTCCGTGTCTCTGCTGGCAGGAGCGTGGTGCGGCCAGAACATCCACTCTTTGTACTTTTAATAAATAATCAAAATAAAAATGCGCAATGACTTTGGACTTTTAGGGGAGGAGTTGGCGGATCCGAGTGGTCAAAATCAGAGCCCTATAAAGAGAGAGTTACGACACTACCATAGACTCCCATAGAAAGAATGGAATGCGGAAGTCACGTGGGTCATGAAGCGGCAAATAGTTCCAAACAGCAGCGGTTCAGCATTGAACATAGTTCATTCTCCGTGTTTTCTCCGGTAAGTTGATGAAAATACGACACTTTTTTTTGCCATTGTGAAGCGTTATCTGACTGTTCTGTACCACAATTTATCAACATTAATACTTCATGTCACCAGTTTTAGTTAATTAAACATGTTAAATTGCTAGTTGTGTTTTAACTGCAGCTGCTCTGCAGCATGACGGTTTAAACGAGTCTATTTCTAATTCAACCTTTTAAAATATCTATTACTGTTTACATTTTGAAAGGTGGTCTTTTTTAAATTTATGGTAATTCCAGTTACTGAACTCAACTAGAAAATATTTGGCCTTTTTTGTTCTGAGAGATTCATTCAACCTTTATTTAGACAGGTAAATCCCAATGAGCCTCTAGGACTCGAGAGACCTGATTTCAACAAAGAATGATGACAACAAGATTGATGTAATTTAGTTAAAGTTATAGAACATTTGTCAAAGACTGCAGCATAAGTTGTGACATTATCATTAAAGAAAAACGTGATTGTGGAGATGAGTCAATTTTTTTCATGTTTTCCAGGTAAACCACAGGAGAATGACTCCATGAACTGAATGTTGCATTCAAAGTATCACAAAGGTAGAAGATCTCATTTTCTGTCTTCCCAAATCAATAACAGTTTAATCAAGATGTTTGAATAAAATTACTTTAACACCATAACCTTCATAAAGTTGGTATTTACTGCAGGACTGTTAATTTACAGTTGTTTTATATTATTAGTTTAGCGTATGGTAATCATGGGTCAAGTTAAGATGAGACTCTCTTTCAAGACAGAACAAGACATAAGAATTATTACCAAGAATATATCAGCATCAATAAACTGTAGGACTAACAAAAAAACTTGTTAAACTATCATGCTTTAAATGCTTTAAACTTTAAATGCATTTTATTAATTATCCAGTTATTATTATTAGTCTATTATATATATATATATATATATATATATATATATATATATATATATAT